GCTGGGTCTCTGCTTGGGGTCTCACAACGTGGAAACACACCTGTGGGGGCACCTGGGAGGCTCAGCAGTTGAGCGTCTGCCTTTGGCTCAGGGCAGGATCCTGGAGTCCCGGGATCGAGTCCCACATTGGGCTCCCTGTGAGGAGCCTGTTCTCCCTCTGCCTGTGTCTCTGCCTTTCTCTCTCTCTCTCTCTCTCTCTCTCTCTGTGTGGTCTCATGAATAAATAAATAAAATCTTTTAAAAAAAATCGCAAACTCACTATGCTAGCAGTTTTTTTATTTTTTAATTAATTAATTTTTAAAAAAGATTTTATTTATTTATTCATGAGACACACACAGAGAGGGAGAGAGAGGCAGAGACACAGGCAGAGGGAGAAACAGGCTCCATGCAGGGAGCCCAACGTGGGACTCAATCCCGGGACTCTAGGATCAGGCCCTGGGCCGAAGTTGGAGCTAAACCGCTGAGCCACCTGGGTTGCCTGGCAGTTTTTTATAATTATAAAAATACTATAAAAAATACTATAATAGTCGTATGTAGTAGTATGTATTACAAAAAGTACTTATAAAAGTTTATGAGGACCAGCTCCTTCAGAGTAGATTGAGCAAAGGTAACTGTAAGGCAGGTAGGTGATTACTGTCCACGGCTCTGCAATGAATTCTGTACGGTAGAGACAGAGCCACCTGCCTACGCAGCAGCGTCTCAGGGCGCCAGGGGTCCCACGGTCCGGGTCTCACGGCGGCCCACTCAATCTTCTCCACATGCCCCAGCCCCTCCTCCTCTCGGCCTGGCAGAAACACTGAGTGGGGCTTGGGGTTGGGGCAGGGCTGAAGATGTGAGTGCAGGAAACTTCAGAGAGCGCCCAGAGGGCTCTGAGAGGCCCAACCATGGACAGAAGCTCCAGAGGAGGCTTCTCCCTCTGTCTATGTCTCTGCCTCTCTCTGTGTCTCAAATAAATAAATGAATAAATAAATAAATGAATAAATAAATAAATAAATAAATAAATAAATAAATAAAATCTTGTAAAAAAAATAAAGAAACCCACATGTGGGCAAGGCAGGGGGTCCCCTGGTGGCTCCGGGGACCTAGTGGCAAAATTCAGGACTGAGGTCCCCAGTCCCTCGCAGCTGTCAGCTGAGGGCTGCTCTGAGAGCCTAGGAGCCACCAGGCCCCCTTCGTCTTCAAAGCTAGCAAGGGCACATCAACTTTTCCCCATGCTTCAAATCTCCTGGGCTGCTCCTTGTGCCTCAAGCCAGAGAATATTCCTTCCCTGTTTGTAAAGGGCTGGTGTGATTAGGACAGGTGCACTGGGATGACCCCTTTTGATAAATTCAAAGTCAACTGATGAGGGCAGCCCCGGTGGCACAGCGGTTTGGCGCTGCCTGCAGCCAGGGCTGTGATCCTGGAGACCCAGGATCGAGTCCCACATCGGGCTCCCTGCGTGGAGCCTGCTTCTCCCTCTGCCTGTGTCTCTGCCTCTCTCTGTCTCTATGAATAAATGAATAAATAAAATCTTTAAAACAAAACAAAGTCAACTGATGAATAACCTCATTACACCTTTGCCCTGAACCGTAATGGGCACGATATCTTGTCTTATTCATGGTCCTTGGGATTAGGGCAGGACATTTTTGGGGGCCATTCAGAATTCTGCTACCACAAATCCACTCCTTTCCAGGCCCTTCTCATGTACCCCACTACCCGAGGGGTTTTCCCAGTGCCGCTGGCATCTTCCTCAAGGCCTCTGGTCCTCTGGCCTCTCACCACACCAGGTTCCCCCTTGAACTGGGGACTCCCAGCATCAGGATATGGATGGTTGCCCTCTATCTTCCACTTCGCCAAGCACAGGCCCCGTCTCCCTAGAGGCTGAGATGTGCAGCGGAAGGAGCCCAAGCTCTGGGCCTGACCGGCCTGGGTCTGAGTTCCAGTTTTACCAACTATGTGACCTTGGCCAAGCACTTCCTTCTCTACTTCAGTTCCTCATTTTGTGCAATGAGTCTGATGGCATCGTTGCATAAGGCTGTGTGAGGTCCCGTAGTCGGGCACCTGCTCCTTGTCCAGACTGTGCCCAGCGCACACTCAGTGTAATCTGGGTCGGAGTTGCCGGGGTTCAGGAGACACTTGTCAGTGAAGCCAGTGGCAAGACACAGAAGCAAGGCAGGAGCAAGGCGGCAAGAACGGGGTGTGGCCGATGCTGGAGATGTGCTTGAGCTCAATCTCAAGGTTTTGAGGGAGTCAAAGTCTTTGCCTTGTAACCTTACGGGTCGTGGACGCTGGCTGCCTCCTGGAAAATCATTTGTTCATTTGACAATTGCTTTTTTTTAAATGTTTATTTATTTATGATAGTCACACAGAGAGAGAGAGAGAGAGAGAGAGGGGCAGAGACACAGGCAGAGGGAGAAGCAGGCTCCATGCACCGGGAGCCCGATATGGGATTCGATCCCGGGTCTCCAGGATCGCGCCCTGGGCCAAAGGCAGGCGCCAAACCGCTGCGCCACCCAGGGATCCCCATTTGACAATTGCTTATTGAGCACTTAACTGAGTGAGAACCAAAGCAGATGTGACTATGGTCCCCATGGAGCCCACAGGCTGGCGGGAGATAGGAAGCAAGTCATGGCATATTATCCTTAGTGTCACAAAGGGCACGCTAGATTGTTAGCATAGAGAATACCAGTGAATATGTTTGGGAGGGGGACTGTGTGGGCTCCTCCAACGTGAGATATTTACGCTGGGGTCAAACAGAACCAGGGGCAGAGCAAGAAGATGGGTGGCGAGTGGAAAGGCCTGGGGGTAGGTACTAGTTGGGGGTTTTGGAATGTGTTTGACCGTGGGCAAGCCCGCACACACAGGGAGGGGACTCACAGAGCTCTTCCCACCCCAGGTGTCCCCCAGCCTGGAAGCCATTCAGGGACTCCCCTGGAGTGGTGGCGGGGAGACCACACTCTGGAGGGAGCGACTTAAGGTCTTGAACCAGGCCCAGCGATGCCTGCTGCGCCCCTTTGTCTCCCGCGTCGCCTCCCCGCCACGGCCGGCAGGGGGCAGCACGACGCCGCGCCGCGGTCCCTCTGCCTCTGGAGAAGCGCAGCGCTACGTCCCCGTCCTTCGGGGGAAACTGAGGCACAGAGCGACAGGTTGAGATCCAGAACGAACCCAGGCGCCCCGCCGCTCGCCCGCCGGGACCCTCGCCCCCTCGGGCAGCTTCGGAAGCACACACAACCCGGTGTGGGGCTCGGGACGCCACCGGGGAGGGCGGCTGGGGGTCCGCGCAGACCCGAGCCGGGAAGCGCGGTCCTCGCCCCTGAGACTCGGGCTGGCGGCGGTGGGGGGGGGCGGGGTGCGCCCCGGACTCCGCGACAGGTCGGGGACGACGCTCACCTCGCAGCCCCGCCGGGCTCCCGCGCTGTGGCCGCCGGGTGGCAGCATTCGCCCGCGCGCCCGGCTCCTCGGGGCTCCCCACCCCCCGCGGGGCGGCTCCCGGCCCTGGGCCGCACTGACCCGGGCGACCGGGGCGCTGGGGCGCAGGGGACACTGTGAGGCAGGCTGCCACCCTTCACTGCTCTCTGTGCCTCAATTTCCCCGCCTGTGATTAATCTCCAACGTCCTTTTCATCTGGGGACCCTTCCCATTGGCGGGCTCCCAAGGCTGCACCATGGGCCTCCGATGGGGAGCCAAGGAATGGCCTGCCCCACCCTTGTCCTGGCCAAGCTTTAGGGAACTGAGAAGGATTAAGGGGCAGTGAGTCGAGCGGGGACAGAAGGACGAGGGTAGGTGGGTTCTGAGCTACTGTTCCCGGCCCTGAGCTTGGCTCTCTGGGACTCAGGGTGGCTGGAAGCAGCTGCCCCCCGGGGCGCCCTACACCCACCCCAGCGAGTCTCCAGTGGCCCCTGGTCCTCAGAAATTAAGTGCTTTCCGGTTCCATCCACTCGCCCAAGAGGGGCCAGCTTGAGGGCGTCCAGGGCTGTGACCCCGCGGAACAGGAGAGGAGCCTGGGCAGGACAGCCGTTAGGAGGCGGGTCACTGGCGCGCCCCAGGACAGACAGAGCAGGGCCCAGCAGGGTCTGCCGCCCGGCCACCGACTTGCAGGGGCTGTGCCAAACTGGACCGCTCTGGGTATGCAAGGCACCGCAGCCCAGAGAGCTCCTGTTCTGGGCTCTGAAGGTGAACACTGGGCCCCTCGCTGCAGAGGAGACTGAGCAGGCTGGGGGGACCAGAGGCAGTGGAGGGAAGCAGAGAACCCTGGGGGCAGGGGGGCCGCTCCCAGAGCCAAGGACGCCCCTTAACATCCTGCCATCCGTCCCCATCCTGGTGATTATCCCAATGGCTTCTGCAGGAGGTCCTCCAGCCATCTGCCTGCACTGAGCCAGGCCGTCTGTCCCTTCCCTGTCCCCTCTGAGTTAGTCTCTCTGGCAGCAGTGCTGACAGGTAGGGGTGACCCTGGGTGCTGGAGGAGGGCTCCGATGGAGGTCTGCAAGGGAGGCAGCGATACTTGGGCTAAGGGTGTGGCCTAGGGGGACCCCAAGTGCATAGTTGCTGCCGGGAGGGGAAGCACGCCAAGAACGGCTGTGGGGGTGGGTGGTCTCCACTCCACCCTCCCCACTAGAAATTGGAAGCCGAGTGGCCACCACGACCTGTACAGGACGTTCCCCTGTGCCCCACCCCCCCTTGCCGGGGCAGAGGAGCGGCCAGCCCCACTGCAGGTGTCTCTTCCGAGCCGCACCCTCCCCGGCGCCCCCCCCCCCAACTCCGCGCACCCAATCCTCCTCCCCCTGCCCAGTCCCAGGAGGGCAATAGGAAGGGAGCGGGCCTGGGCAGGGGGGTGTGGATGGGGGGGGTGGATGTGTTTGCGTGTCACGGGGGAGGGAGGAGAAAAGGGAGGGGAGAGCCCGCGAGCGAGGGAGAGAGAGCGCGCGGCGAGCGAGGAGGGCGGGCGGGAGGCGGATCCTCCTACCTGGGCCGCGCTCGTTCGCTCGCAGCTCGCTTGCAGGGGCCGCGAGTCACCTGGGGAGGCGGACAAGTGCGGACACATTGGCCGCCGCGGCGCTCGGCGAGGCGCGCACGGCCCCAGGCGGCTGCGCCCAGCGGAGGCAGCGCCCGCCCGCCCGCAGCGCTCGGGCCGCGGCCCCGCCGGCGCTCAGCGCGCCCAGCGACCTCTCAGCCCGGCTCCGAGGTCGCGCTTCCCGGCCCAGGTCACTGCCCAGGCGCACGCGGCGGCGGCGGCGCCCAGCTCACCATGGTGGCAGCGCGCGCCCAGCGCCCGCGCGTCGCCGGCCGCCCGAGCCGCAGCGCAGGCTGAGAGCGGTCCGCCGGAGCCCCCGCCCTTGCCAGCCCCCCGCCGGCCCGCGCGTCCCCTCCGGCCGCCGCTGTCTATGGCGCAGCCCCCCTCCCTGGATCATGCACAGAAACTTTCGCAAGTGGATTTTCTACGTGTTTCTCTGCTTTGGCGTCCTCTACGTGAAGCTCGGGTGAGTATCCCCGTGGGCAGGGGCCACAGCCCCGCGTGGGGGCAGCGGCGAGGACCGGGCTCCAGGGGCTCTCCGCGGACACGTAGGGCCTGAGGGGGCGCAGGCGGCTCCCGGGACCGAGGCTGGCCTGTGCGTGGGACCGTCGGCCCCGACCCCGCAGCGCCGGGTCCTCGCGAAGCGCGCCGAGTCCGGGCCGCTCCAAGGAGGGCAGAGCGCGCAGGCGGCGCGGCCGGGCTCGCGGGTAGCGGCGAGCGTGCCCGGCGCGTACTTTCACCTGTTTGGGCTCCAGGCCCCGGGGGTGGGACGCGCCTTCCCTCCCCCGGGCTGCGCTGGGCGCCGAGCCCGGGCCGAGCGCTCGCCGTCTGGAGGGCGCGCCGGGGCGGCAGCCGGGGGCGTCGGGCGGCCGGGAAGGCCCGGGCGGGCGGGGGGGCGAGCGCCCCGGCCCCGAGCCTGCAGGCCGGGCACCTGCCTGGGCCCTTCGACCCTATCCATCACCCGGACGTGTTGAAATTGCCTTGACAACTTGTCCGGCTGGCTCGCGATGGGCCGCGCGGAGGGCCCGGCCGCCTGGGGCTCGGTCCTGGGCCCGCGCCCCCGCCCGCCCTGGGCCCTCGGCCGGCCCCCTCTCGCCGCGCTCCCCCTTGTGCGGCCCGGCGGGCGGGCGGGCGGGCGGGCGGGCGCCCGGCGGGCCGCGCTCGCTGCTCGCTGCAGTAGCTGCTCCGAGTCGTATTTCCACATTCCTGAACCCAGCCGAGTCCTTACCTGTTGAGCCGCGATCTCCTTTAGACAGAATCTGTCTCGGCCTCGCTCGAAGTGGGGGTGGGGGGGGCGATGTGACCGCGACGGGGGTGCGGTGCACCTCGCCCCCGGGCGCCCGCACCCCGCGCCCCTACGGAGCAGTCGGGCCGAGCACAGCCGGTGAACAGCCCCGCCGGAGGCGGAGACGCCGCTTCCCCGGCTGCCAGGTAGAAGCCCCACCTGAGACTCACCTCGCCTCTCACCCGCCCTTCTGTCGCCCCCTCCGCCATTTTACAGATGGAGAAACTGAGGCAGGGTGGGGGCTGCAGAGGCAGGGCTGGAAGACCCCGTCCTAGCCTCACTCTGCAGGCCTGGGTGCCTGGTTTATTGTGGGTCCCTATAGGCTGAGTCCCTCGGTGTTTGTTCAGGGAGGTGAGGGTGCTAGGGGGTGGGGGCTGGGAGGGAGACAGGGCTTGGGATCTCCAGCAGTCCCTGCAGCTCCTCTCCCTGTTCCCCCAAGTACTGGGCAGCCCCTCCTGAGGCTCTCTTTGGTTTTCAGCACTTGTCCGCTCCTGGCAGTCCTAGAGTTCAGTTCCCGTTTTAAGGATCAGGAAACTGAGTGAGGGAGGCCAAGTCACTTGTCCCCAGAGTAAAAGGCAGAGCCAACCACTCAGCCTAGCACCCTAGCACCCATTTCTCAACAGGAGTCACTGAAAAGAACTCCCCCCTCCCCCCCACAACTTGTGGGAAGCGCTATGACCTTTCCCTCCCCACCCAGGCAGCAAAAGGAGCTCCCGCTGGTGCCCAACCTGGTCTCCTGTGGCTGGTTGAGGGGCTCAGAGGCCTAGGGGACCCCCCCCCCCGACCTACAGACACAAGGCAGCTTCCCTGTCCCTTCTGTAAATGGGAGTGCAGCTCTGGCCATCGTGAACACGGTGGTGGCTGGTGTCTGCGTAGAGATCAGTGAGTGCGACCCAGCCTGTGTGCCCAGGCACTTGTACTTGCCTCTCTGGGAGTGTGCAAGAGAGCCAGGCTCTGCCTTCTGCTTCCATTCAGGAACCCTGGTGTGGGCGATCCTTCCCCTGCTGTGCCCCCTAAAACACACACTCCTGGGGGGAGAGGAGAAAACCTAGTCTCCAAACACCCCTGCAGAACCACATCTGGGAAAAGCCAGGGAGCCATCCTGGGATGTGCTCAGGCGACGGGTCTCAGCCTCTGCCACCACCACGGCCCCTGCCTGCCTGCCTGCCTGCTCACCTGCCCACCCTGGAGCAAGGGGCTTGCCTTCTTTGCAAGCCATCTTGGCTGCACAGGGCAGGGAGGATCAGGAGCGGAGCCCAGATGTGACCTGAGGGGTTAGTGACTTAGGGGCCCAGTGCGTTAAGGATGAGGTTTGGGACTCATTCCTCCCCCTCACTCCTTATTGGTGGCTTTGGGTGGGTGCTCCGATTCTGCCTCTCTCATGCGAAAAGTGGGGTCACAGTAGCTCATCCTTCATCGGGTACTGTGAAGATTTGTTCTGGGTAAAAAAAAAAAAAAAGAAAAAGAAAAAAGAAAAAAAGATTTGTTCTGGGTGACTGTGCCCTGGGGGGAGAGGTGGGGCTCCCATAAACACCTGCATGCACCAGCCAAGCTTTTCTCACTGCTAATGATTCTAGCATCACCACTCCAGGGACTCCTCCAGATAGTGGATTTTAGGGCCATAGCAGTTCCAACCAATGTCAGGGACTGCATGTATTGGGGAGATATTCTGGGGTCATGCCCCCCACAGCCAACACCTGTGTGTGCACTTTTGTGAATGTACACCAGGAACCTCCCTCACTGGTGCACATGCAGCCACCACACAGATGTGCAGCCCCTGGGGGGAGCTCCCAGACCAGCAGGGATGGTGAACTCAGACCTCACAATCCTTTTGGGGAATCAGGGCCCCCAAGAGTAGGCTTGCCTTGAATTTTGAGCAATTTCAAAACAAATGACTTTGGGGAGTCACAGTTCCTCACTTTTGGACTGAGCAGCCTACAGGCTGTGGCCCTTGGGAAGAGGCTAAGCCAGGGCAGGAACAAGCCATTGGGATCTGGGCACCCTCTGCCCACAGGAAGTGGGGTCAAGAAGTCCCAGGATCAGCCCTGCTCCATTCCTGCCCTGGGAGAGGCAGAGGGCCCAGCGGGATGAAGGTGAAGCAGGCAGCTCCTTCCTTCTGGATGCCAGGCATGAGTCTCCATGCCAGGTCTAGAAGCTGGGAAACACCCCACCCCTGGGCCACTGGCCATATCATATGGACCTCTCTTGTCATCATCCCTGCCTTGTGCTTTCCCCCCAGCTGAGAGGGTCTACACTGCATCTGGAAGATCATTCATAGGTAGACAGGCTTGGCAGACAATAGGAGGTGGGTTTCTGGCCTTAAAAAAAAAATCACTGGAAGAGGAAGGATTGTTTAGAAGTGTGTCCTTGCGGATCTGCTCCTCCCTACACCTATCCCAACCAACCCCTCAAAGGAGAGCAAAAGAAGTACGATGGGGAAGCTAAAGCTAGGGACCTCTGTGAACCAATTAGGGGTGCCTTCTCGCTGCCTCCTCCAAAGAGGCCCTGAGGCAGGACCCTACAGAGACACCAGTGCGCATGTGCACAGGTGAGCCCTGCCTGGCGGGGCCTGGTTGGCTAAGGTGAGAGCCTGCGACTCACAGCCAACCTAACCAAACCCAGGGGCGCACGCAGGCAAAGGTGCAGCACACACAGTGCATCTGTGCGCACACACCTGCGCCCTCGCAGACGCGCCCACGCTCCTGCGGGCACACACAGGCACATGCAGGCACATGCAGGCGAACAGAACAGACTCCCGAGCACAGCCCCCCAAGAGGAGCGCACGCCCCCGCGCGCTTGCGCCCCGGTGCCTCCCCCCAGGTGCACCCTCCAGAGCAGGCCAGAGCTGTGTGGTTCCCCGAAGTTGGGCGGGTGTGTGTGTGTGTGGAGGGGTGCGGGCCGAGGCGGTTCGGGCAAGCCCTGGGGGCGGCTCCTGTCGCACGCTCCGGTCAGCCTCCCCTTTAAAAAACCCGCCCGCAGAGGAGGCGGATGTAGGGGCGGCCCGTCCAATGGCAGCTGCGCGCCTCGAGAGACTTGGAGACTCGAGCCAGAGCGAGCGACAGAGCCGGTTCCGACCGATCGACGGACGGAGGGCTAGACGGCCGCCGAGGCGCACCCGCTGCCCCCGGCCGTGCCCTCGCCCCGCACCCCGGCCCCAGCGCCCGCCGCGGCCCCGGCCCCAGCCCCATCGCGATGCTCGGCCCTGGCGGCGGGGCACCGACGAGAACCGCGCCGGGGCCCGCGCGCCCGGGTCCCTAGCGCCTGGTGTCGCCGCCCCGCCGCGGGGAGGGCCGCGGAGACCCCGGCCGCAGCTGGCCCAGGCGCCCTGCCCGCCGGCCCACCATGCTCCTGCTGTCGCCGCGCGGCGCGCTCCTCTCCGTGTACTGCCCGCAGATCTTTCTCATCCTGTCCAGCGGCAGCTACCTGTGAGTGCGGCGGCCGCTCGCGGGCCGGGGGGCGGGGGGGGGGCGCTCCTCGGCCTCCAGCGCGGGAGCCGCGCGGGCAGGAGACTCAGCGGAGTCCCTGGGCGGGGCACCGGGCGCCCGACGCGCTCGGTGGGCTGGGGACGTTGCGTGTCCTCATCTGCCCAAGGCACCGAGGTGGAGGACTTGGGGGGCGGCTGCGTTAGTGAGACGCGAAGGCTTTGGGGTCCGAGAGCGCGTGGCCCGCGAGAGGCCCTGCTGCCCGGGTGGGCCGGACTGCGCGCACCGAGCGAGCGCCACGAGGGGAGGGCGCGCGGCGGCGCGGGGATTCCCTGCGCATCCCACCCGCGTCTCGGACAAGCGGGATCCCCTGCCCTGTAGACGTCCTTGGGGCCGGCCGGCCGTGCAGCCCTCGAGAGAGCCGCCCGTGCACACCCGCTCCCCGCGCACACACCGGCGCACACGTGCACACTGCGCCCCACCGGACAGTGCCCAAGCGGGCCCCGGGGTGGCCGCTGCCTGTCGCGCCTTCCCGCTGCGCTGAGCCGCCCGGCCCCGCTGCTGCCCACTCCTCACCTGGGGGCGAGGGGACCGCGCAGCGCAGGGGCGGCTGGCCGGGGTGCGCCGGGATCCAGGCCGAGGCAGCGCGGAGGGAGCGTGGGCGCGCGAGTGCGCAGGGTCGGGCAGCGCCCCCGGGGCTCGGGCAGCTCCCGGCAGGGCCGGCAGGGCCCAGGGAGCCGAGGGGCGCGTCGGCGCTGC